CTGATTCTGACTACACCACTGGTTAGGCTCATATCATCTTCCCACTTTCTTTAAGAAAAACTGAGCTGTTTGAAGTCCCAAGAGTAGTAAGTCAAATAAATGTCACATCCCTGAACTCTAAGAAACGCCAACCATTGGGTTACAAGGCATAATGCAAAAACCAATCCCTCTGGGAGAGGAGAGCCCTCATCCTTCCTGTGCAGCAGATGTTGGCTGAGGGTAAGAAACATGGCTAAGTTTGGGCCAAATCAAGACCAAATTCCAGAGGGTCCTACAATGAGGTAGACACATGCACCCAGAGAGGTGAAATCTAGCAGATGACCAGAGTGCAGATACCTGTGACACAGGATAGGGCTGCAAAAAGGACAACTACATCTATCTGGGGAAGAGAAAGGGCATGTTGGGGGTCGGGGACAGACTTCAAGCCACATCCTGTGGAGTTACAGTGGCCTAGAACCACTCACCGGGCACAGATGGTCCAGGACGAGGGGCTTTATCATGCATTTGCTTTCTCCAGGGAGATAACAGGGGGAAGTGTGCAGGGAAATACTGATGACTCAAATATTACCTTCCAAATTCTACGGAGACATACAAAATGACCCTTAAATATTTGCCTAACTATTAAATCTGTATTTTATGACATGCACACGCTTTCAGGCATAATGAAACCTCTTGAATAATCAGTGTGTGACACAGTTAAATTCTTTATAGAACCTAAAGCAATTTCACCATTTAAAATCAGAGGTTTGTAAGTGCAATATCTTGGGTCTTATAGCATGTGGTTCACACTTGTTGGTTAGGAACAGTATCCCTCTCCAGTCTTAACCATAATGCAGTACTTTAGGAAGCAAGCTCTGCTCTATCACCTGCACTTAATTTCTAGGAAAAATGGTGGCTTGTGGTATTCACCTAAAGTGAAACCCCTCTAACACACTGATAATACACTCAACTCATGCTGAATAAGTACTTTGACAGAGAGACTAAGAAAATGCACACTGGGCTTTTAAAATCATTTGTTAATGGTGATCTCTAGTGCCCCCAAGTGGTCATAAGGGATGTGACACCTTCAATAGGGAATCCTGTCCTGAAGGGCGGTAGACTGTGGGAAAAATACTGCCAGAACAAAATGGTTAAAAACAAAGAGAGTACCCAGAAAAGAATGGTTCCTTTTATACTATTTCTTCCACAAAGTTTGGTAGACTAGAGAAAAAATATATAACATTGAAAGTCCGCTGGAATTGAGTCAGAATGGGAGTTCTCCAGTTCCATAGCCCATTGCCTCTTGGAGAAAATGGGAATAATTATTCTGATTATGAAAATTAAATAAGCATGGATGTGATCTTTTTAAAAATTTCACACATAGAATATCTGTATGCGTCCTTCTATAACTTTTCTTTGTCATTTAACACTAGCATTTTAAAGCATTTTGTACAGATCGGTGTAGTACAAATACAACTTCTGTTTAATTTCCAAGGTTTGTCAACACTAAGAAGGTACAGGTTGGCAAGGAGGAGAAAGAGGAATATAGCTTGAAGAGGGCATCATGTAATAAATTTATTATATTTTGTTACAATTTTCACTTTCCTCTTAATTCCAACTGTATATACTATATAACCAACTGCGGTTCCAGAAATAAAATGTTTTAAACATAAAAATATAAATTCTGCTTCTTAAAAGTGCATACACCTTGAATAATAAAACATACAAATAAATAACAGAAGTCAGTGATACATCTCATGCACTTGATCTAAAATAATTTAAAACGTACGACACACCTTTTTTCCAGCCTCAAGGAAAGACATCCTGCCTTCCATTACTACTGTATAACTAAGAAAATTATACAGAAATCACTATGAAATGGTGCATGAACAATACCAAAGCATTTTGTGTACAGTGATACGACACACAGCTATTAAGACAGCTATAGAAATTCCAGTGTAAAAACTGAGGCATTCAGTCAGAGTACTTTTGTAATGGGGCTGGAAATTCAATCTTAACCAGTGGTGAGAGGCACAGTTGGTGAGCAAGCCTATAGGGAACATAAATGCATATCTGAAAGGCCTACAAAAGAGAACTTCAGCTTCAGAAATAACCTGTCTCCCTGTTTGGTATAATGACACCACACCATTTAAAATAGCACCTAGGAAGTTTCATATTGCATTTTCACCATTCTCACAGGTAACCCTGCTTTGAGTGGCCTTTCTAAAAAGCATTTTCCAATTTGGATTTTTACTTATTATCTTTATACCATGAAATGTTGAAAACCCCAGGTAAAAATGTGTTTCCTTTTTTTTGTAGGCAACATAATGCTCAACAGGATGAAACCACCTGAGCAGAACAGATTATTTTGAAGATGTAGTGCATTCAGCTCACCACAGATTAAAACTAAATTTCATTTGCCTCCATAGCTAACACACTGCCAAATTTGGGGGTATTATTTGGTATTTTTAAATTACATTAAAAAAATGTCAAAAAGGGTTACAAAAAAAAAAAGACTCCAAATGAAATGCTTCACGCTCATTTTTAAACTAAAAATTATTCCTGAAACTACATTCAGGCTAAGTAGAGAATGAGCTAAATAGGAAATTCAGTGGCAGCCTGGGGCTTGCTATTGTAATTACTACAGAGGCAGTCCTCTATCAAAATCAGGGACAGGTTTTCCAAGGCCCAAGAAGGCTTTACTTCAGCATTTTCTAACTCAGGGTGACTTCCCTACTGCCCCATGAGTCTTGCCCCACAATGACACCCAGGGAAAGGCTCTGGGTAGGGTGCACACTTGTGGGGCACTCTGCCTGCACCTGCAAACTGAAGGCCACAGAATCCCACCAGACTGGGAAGTGCTGGGCCACACACAAAATGCTCCAAGCTCCCAATTGGGCCTCAAATCAGAAAGTGCCCCCAACCCCTTACTTCAAACAAGAGGCTGATATCAGTAGTTCCCAATCTATTTTTTGTCTTTCCTCTCCAGCATAACAGGGGAAACTGAGTCCCTCCTAATATTCACCCGGGAGTGAGTCTCACTATAGTTCTCTGCAAGAGGAGGGAGCCTATCACAGTGATTCTCAATTCTGACTGCAAATTGGAAACACCAAGAAGCTTTAAAACATACAGCAATTCCTGGGACCCACCTCTACATTACTTAGACCTAAAGCTTGGAAGTGAGACCCAGGCATTTTTACAAGTCCCCTGGATGGCTCCAGTGAACACTGAGTCTGAGAATCTGAGCCAAGTCACTCCAAAGATGCTCCACATCTGGGGAGAGTACGAGTGTGTGATTTCAAATAGCCTCCCAAGTCAGCTATGGATCTCCCTTCTCCCTATAATTGGGGAACACCTGCTTTTAATGAATATGTAACCGATCTAGAACCTCATCCACTGCACAACTTTATCACAAATGCCACGGGCTTAGTCTTCTTGTGACCACTGGTTGGGAAGCTCCAAAAACTAAAACAGCTCTGTCTTTACAAAAGCATTGTAAAATTGTTAGCACTATTAGAAGCCACATTTTCTCCTTGTGACCATGATAGAACCCTATAAGATATAAAAAAATTAAATATAGAAAATGGCAGGTTATTTTTAGAACAACATACTTTAGGAAAGTCTTCAAGCTAAATACAGTGTATAAACCAGTGTGTGTTCAACATATCCAATTCTACTCCTGCTTGCAAAATATTATTTTACACACAATCTTGCCAATGATTTTAAAAAATCAGCAGAGAAACATGTGCAAAGCAAATCAAGAACTCACATTTATGCTCCTCTATACTGATGATTAAGCCATGTTTAAAAAATACAGATCCAAAAATAGAGCTCCATAATTTAAGGGTTGCCTTGTTTTTTGTTTTTGTTTTTTTCAATTTACATTTAGTGTAGTCTGTATTTATTAGTTGTTTGCATAGGTAATAAGAGCATGCTTTCTGGGTCAGATGAAGGCCATGCAAAATTATTTTCATTACTTGGGGAAAAAATTACTGGTCATGCTCCAAATGCAGTTGCAAAACAAACACCTTGGGAGTTGATCAAAAGGTAGTGTGAAATACTGAGTGTTCATGTAAATAAAAGGATTTCTCCCCAAACTATTAAGTCAGATTTAGCAAGAATGGATCCTTTGTGAAATTAAAGACAGCCTGCACAGTAACAGCTACTTTTTGTGTTTATGATATAGGCACTGGTCAGAAAATTTTGCTCTCCTCAATTCCAAATAATGCAAGTTCAACACACCTCACAGAATATGTTTTATTGAAACTGTGCTTATGATTTGCACACTCCCTCAAAGGTCCAACCCAGAAACACTAATTATCTTTGCATCCAGTAATTATAATAATCTACACAGGAAACAATAATTTCATTTGTTCAGTAATTTGTTAAGAGTGAAATGTAACATCAGATGTCAATCTCCTTTTAAAAACATGTTTATTTGAAATAATGAGCTTTGTTCACAAGCTCTTCTCTGCTCCATTTTGCCTCATGTCTGTCACTACTGTTTCCTTTACATACTGTTCCTACTTTTTTATGATAGTTATTTTAGAGGGCTGACAATTTTTCTTCCCACCTCCCCCCAAAATCCCCACATCCATCTCATATAAACGTACAAGACCAAATTGTAATGAAAAGTGACTTTGTGATGGATTTTCAACCCCTAAGTAGTAGAGAGACATAAGTCTGAAAAAAGTGGACATAAGAGTAAAATGTTTCCAGAGATGAGGAAGGGCACTTTTGGTTTTCAGAACAGACCAGACTTGCTGAAGAGGACCACAAGCATTAGCCAAGTCGCCAGGATCCAGCTGATCTTTTTGTTCAGAAGGACTGCCACTCCGTTTAGGTCATCACCAGCACCCCTGGTTCATGCACTGTGCTCCCAGGGCTCCTCAGCCACAGCAAATTCCTGAAGCTTTCAGCTCACCTTTGCAAGCAAAGCAGGCCCTCAACAAATGTTTGCAGAAGGAATGATGAAAGAACAGTCACAAAAGAGTCTAAGGCAGCCTCACAGGCAATTACAGTAAAATATCCCCATGTCCATTTCTATTGGTCCAGCATAGTTACTACTTTCAGTTAGGCTGCTTTTAGGATGAGAAAATAAAAAAGGGGTGGGAGATGGTCATGAGATGACATGAGCTTAACAGTTTCTTTGTGCTTCCACATTATACAAGGGATTACAAAGGCAAGGTATAGGCCTGTGTTTAGGAATGATATAGCCTCTGTGCACTGGCAGTTTTCAGGAAAAGAACTAAGAATAAGAAGTATTTAAAAAGTAAACAAACATTATAGATGCACACCACTGTTGGTGATTACTTTGTGCCCCAGAGAATGACAGCTCTAATCAGACCCACCTGGCTGTCAACCAGAAACCCAGGCCTACCATCCTTAGCAGATGATTTTTAGCCCCAAAACACATATATGCTCATTATGCCAAACATCACCAGGAAACAAAGAAAATACAAAACAAACACCAGTCCCAAACCCTACCAATGAACTGAGTTGAACCAAGTAATAATTTCCCCACAAGGTACTTCATACCTTAATGAACACCTTCAATCTTTTCAGCAAAATATCCTTTTCTAGTGGCTTAACAGTTGTACCTAGTAGTTAGAGATGTAATATTCACTGTTTACCAAGCATGGAAATATAATAGCTTAAAGATACCTAGAAATGCCATAATACTTCATGATTCTTTCTTCCATTTAAATCTGTATGAAGGACTAAGCTCCACAAACATAATTCATATATAATGAAATTTTATTTCTATATCCCATGAAAAATTAAAGGAGTTTGTAGAGTTCTGGGGTTTTTTTAAGGACACCAAATGTAATGGAATATCTGTCTCTGGAGGACTCAATAATAAAAATATTTACCACTGTGAAAATTAAAATAGTTTCTATTAATGTTTAACTGATTACAGCCCCCCAAAAGATTAAAACAGTTTGTGCAAACTACAATTCTAAGACTATTTCAGAGCTTCAAATAGAACATTTCAAATGAGATTTACCTATTAAAGACATATGAGAGGTTCAAATCAGACAAAAATCCAATTCCTGATATTGACCATCCCATATGTGTTGCATCTTTTTCAGGAAAGAAAAGTGACAGAGGAAACCTAGCGGTGCTAAACACCCATCAGGCTGCCAATGTGCCATTGGAAGCAATAGTAATATCACGAAGGCTGCTGGTCATCAGCAGGTGTACTACAGCAGGGGCAAGCCACAGTGCTTTGAGAAACCACAGATACCTGTACAGTGGGACAAGGACAGCCTAGTGAAGGCACAAGTACAGGACTGAGTGCAATGGGCAACAGGCTCATGTTGAATGAATTTCATACAGCACTACAGTAACTTTCACAAGGCTGAACACGTAAGTCTTAAACATTGCAAGAGCCTAAAATTCCAGCTATCCTCAACATAAATGGGCTCCAAACTTGCAAGTTACTGCTATTGCTCAGATCAGCAGCAAAATAAAGTTAACTAACCCACCGGAAACATTTCCCAAGTATTGACAGGAATAAAAAGAAAACTGAAAAGGCAGTGCAGAATTCACAGCTATGTATGGGTATGTTCTAGTCACTTCACACACAGCAATACTGAAAAGGGGGTGGTAAGTGGATCTGTGCACCAAGAGTTCAGGAAGAACTTGAAAAGTCTATGTTTAAAAAAAGAAAAAAAAAGTTAGTATTTAAAAACACATAAACCTAGCATGCTATATTTCATGGCAAAGTGACAAATGCTATGCAAAGAGAATCAGGACCCTGACACTCTTGGCTTAATTTAAAAAAAGAAAAATAGAGAAAAAAAGCTAAAAATTGCTAGGATACCTCCAAAAAGCTTACAAAACTATCTATCTTGCTTACCTGTGAAAATTTAAGAGGTTCCTCAAAACAAGAAATACAATTTGCACTGACAATGCCAGGCGGAACATGCTCTGATCCTGCTTGTGAGTTCTTGGATAAGAGATTACATTTTTATGCACAAAGAAGAATAAATGAGTTACTGAACAGCAGACGGGCAGGAGCAGAGCATACATGTAATACTTTGTGTCACACATTGCTTCAACATAACATCACTGACTTTTGGCATTAGGCAGCTTCTTTCCTCTCCAAGATGAGGAAATATGGATATGCACACACGGGGCGGCATGGAGCACTCAACTTCTAACAGAAAAAAGTAACACCAGAGAAGGAAAATGGTACAGATTTATGTATCCAATTTAGAATCCATTTTTTTCCCAGGAATCTTTCAAAGATATTAACTGCTCTACTGTATTTCAAGATACAATGGCCTTTGCTAGAAAATTTAAAAGGAAAAAAATATAACTACCAGTGACTGGCTTTCTGGCTATCCAATTTGCCACCTCTTAGGATATATCGCAAGACTCAAGACAGCTTAAGATACACACATCTTTGCAGATATGAAGGTTGTGAAATACTACATGTCTACCTCTAAAAACTTCTGTGGCAGTAGGAAAAATGACAGCCACCCCTAGGCCACCTTCTCTTTAATCCTTTTACTGATGTGCATCCATTCTAGACTAGCTGAGTATATACCTGAGAAAAATTAGTGTTAAAATATTGCCCTTTACAAAGACTGATGGATGGGGCCAAAGTGCAGAAAGCAAGTTTTCTCTCAGTTTGTTTCACTGTTAGTGTCACAGTTTTTAGAGCTCCTGATGCCACACGACAATCAGCTGTGAGGACAAATCCTGCTCAGATGAAACCCAAGTCAAATAATTTATCCTTCTACAGCACACACTCATGAGAGCTTAACTGGTTCACAGGTTTCAAAACCCTAGTGTCCAAAGAAAAAGTCATTAGAGTTCTCTAGTAAGAAATATGTATAACTGCTAAAGAGACAATCCAGGGTATTGTCTACGATTATTCCAGTTAGCTTGGTATCAATGCTTTGCCTATGGCTGTTATTTGGTTCAATGGCAGAGTAAGGCGACGCTTTTAACAATTTGCAGTTGAATTGTATACACACACACACACACACACGTATGCACACGCACACACACACGCACACACACACACATATCAGGCACAGTACCCAAAAGATACAAAACAAAAGCATAGAGGGCATTGGTGGGAGAGAAGGGATTCTAAATAAGTTAACACCTTTACAGATAAAACACTTGGACTGCAGAAATATCACTGAGGTTTTTGAGAAGGCCGTGCAGAGGTTTGCATGCTAGAAGATAACTTTTTTGAGGATTTCTCAGCAGACTGCCTGACACCAGGAGACAAGGGAGCTCCAGAGTCTAGCTGGGAAGACTTGGATTTGCGAGCAGACAGTAGAGAATGTTTAGCAGAAGAAGGGTCCTTGGAGACAAGCTGCTCCTTCCCAGCTGCATTTGCATTTGACTGCTGGGCACCAGGAGGCTGGTATCCTTTCTCTGCCTTGTCATCCACAGCACTCTTACAGGCCGACTTGACAGAGCTCCCGCCGGCCTTCTTGGAGAGCAAGGCTGTCTTGCCAAGATCAGTTGACCTCCGAGTTTCCTTCTGTCTCAACGCTGACTTGAAGAAGGACAGCCCCTTGTCCTCCGACTTGCTGTCCCTCTTCAGACCAGCCTTTATGCTAGTGTTGGGGGACCGCAGGCTGGCCATGGAGGAGCTCCTGACATGTTTTCCATCCCCTCGGCCCTCCGCCGCCCGGGCCTGGCTCACCCGAGGGGAGTTGGGTTTGGAGCTCGAGGTGACACTGGCTCTGTCAGAAGCCAGGCTTTGTCTGGAGCCCTCTCTACTTAAGCTCCTGTCTGAAGTCCTGCTCTTCCCAGGAGGGAAGGGGCCCCTCGTGGCAGGGCCTGAGGCTTTCCTGGCAGACATGGAGGAAGCAGTGTAAGCAAGGGAAGAAGCTGACTTCTGCTTCTGGGGCAAAGGAGACAACAGGGAGTCCTGGGATTTGGGGGAGGACTCCTTCTTGGGTTGGGCAGGGGTAGGGGAGGAATGCCGTCCACTGGCTCTGGAAGAAGAATCTGCTTTGTTTCGAGAGCGGGACGGCTTTACAGAAACTTTTACAGGAACGGGAGAAGAAGGGGATGTACTTGAAAGAGATGATTCCTGGCTTGCCAAGACCGGCCTCCCTTTCCGCATGCTTCTATCTGGGTCAAAAGTGCCTTTGGAGCCAGGAGATCTCTTGGTTGTGCTCTCTGGTTTCTTCAAGAGGGAGCTGGGGTGGTTTGAGAGTTTCACTTCTTTGACTGGAGAGCTGTCGACAGAATCACTCTGGTCCACATAAGCAATCTGGTTATTGTTATCAAATGGATCAGAGATAGGCGGCAAGTGATCCCCTTGTGCTGAGTTTTTGCTCTGTTTATCTACAACAGTGGAGCTCAATGTGCGGGTCTCTGATTCATCTCTGAATGCACCTTCCATGACAGCCAGAGGGGCCCGACCCACAGCCCTGTGCTCACGTCGACTGTGACTATCACTTGGTTCCTGGTAACTGCTGGAAAGGTTCCTCAAGCTACCAAAACAAGAGATGGACACCTTGTCATCAACTGCCTCCCCGATCTTCTCCAAGGTGGAGGCAGAGGTGTGAATTGGTGAGTCCCCTGAGAACCGGGAAGGAGAATTGGAGCGCATCTGCAGCTTAGCAGACAGGGACCAAGAAGGTCTAATACAATTTTCATTAACGGCCAAAGGGCTGGTGACAGAAGATCTGGATGACAAGCTCTGACGCTGGACACTCCTCACAAATGGTCGAGTTGAGAAACCTCCTGGATGCAGTAAAGAGAACACTGTTAAGCTCAACCGACAAAATATCTCAGTAACACAGTAAGATACTGGAAGATGGAAGTAAGACAAGCTTCATGCAACGATAGGCATGTGGCCTCAGAGCTCACACATCTGGGTTCAGGAAGTAGCCATGTGACTTCAGCTTTCCTGAGTCCAGCTCCTTATTTATAAAATAGGGGCATTCTAACTCAGGGACCAGCAAACTACTTTCTTGCTCTCTATCAGGGATCAAGACTCTTCCTGTAAAGGCCCACACAGTCAATATTTTAGGATTTGAAGGCCAGCTAGCTATTCAACTCTGCCATGGTAGCATTAAAGCAACCATGAATGACACAACAAATGGGTATGGCTACGTTCCAATACAACCTTATCTCCAAGTAAAGGGAGGGGCTACAGTTGGCCAGTAGGCCCTAGTTTGTTGACCCCTAACTTACAGGGCTACTCTGACAATTAAATAAAACCTTCAAATTCCTGTGCCCTAGCAAGGCACATGGCATTCCACAGATGCTCAATAAATGTAAGCTACTAATACAGCTGTGTCATCTTACTGACACCCGGGGCTCACAGAGGTGAAGTCCTTACCCAAGATTGAACAAATAATTAGAGGCAAAGCTAGTACAAGAACCACCCTACCACCACCCCCATCAATACCACATGTAGGCTGGCCTGTTGTTATTGACTATAAAAGCAGATCAGTGGAAAGAAACAGATGATACACTCCCATCCTGAATGACTTAAAACTTCCAAAGAAAATATTCATAATTAGAACAATATACTCATTTTAAGTGACTTAAAACTTCCAAAGAAAATATTCATAATTAAAAGCTACACATAACTGACACTGCAGCTGTGGTATTTACAAAACTCTATCTAGATAAGATCCTGAGAGAGGCTCTGTTCTGTGGACACCACCCAGCATCCCTGTACGATGATGAGGCTTACAAGGATATTGATTTCACCAACCACACTTTCAGAAAAGAATGGAGACAAACCACAACCAGGCTTATTGTTAGAATGCCAGTGAATTCTAAGTTTAAAGGCGGCACTGAAAATAACCTTCACCTAAAAAAGCATCAAGATTCACTCATCAGTTTCTCATAAAAAGTCAGGAGCTTAGCGATCACAGCTCAATACTCTTATTTTACAAAATAAAGAAGCAACAAGCCAGAAAAGGTGGCAAAGCTGCAACCACGACACACATCTCCTAACCTGGCTTTCTTCTTCCAACTGCCTGCTTTTCCCTCCACCTCACGTTCTCACAGTTATCCATGACCATCAGCAGGTTACAGTGATGGAAAGGCTGGCTGCAGAATGAGACCTATTGGAAGATGAGTCACCACCCTCATTACAGAAGCTGAGCTCACTCGCCCCTCCTTCCAGCTCTCAGCACTTTGCCTGCCTGATCCGCCCCACACCACCTGGGGTCCCTGTTAGAGCTCAGAACTCTGCTGCCATCACTCAGCCACTAAGTGAGCTTAAAAAAAACAAAACAAAACAGAGTTCAGTTTGTATCAAATTTTCCAGGTTTTTGTACTGTGACTATCTTCAGAATTCCTAAAATCTACCTTTATGCAGGGGCAACAGTTTTTATTCTAGATGTTTCTGAAGTTAAAAAATACTACAAATTCCTCTATGGGAAACAGTGTGGTACAAAGGCGAGAAGCTCAGAGAGTGGGGAGCCCCCCATCGAGCCCAGCACAGTGACTCCTCACCAGGTGGCCCTGGGCAAACCCATCCTCCCTAAGTCCCCTTACAGCTCTTTCGAGGATTTCAAAAAGCACTTTGGAATAAGCATATACCTTATTGTACAGATTTAAAGTTAAAGCTCCAGCATCCACACTAGACCTCACACGTGGAAAATAATGAAGTGGAAGGATAAAGTCCTGGGTCCCAGGGGAAAAGGCAATGACACACATGAGTTGTTACTGGTGACAGCAGCTACAGCCAAGCAGCCCCACTCTCTGTGACCCTTGCACCTTCTCCCACTATCTGACTATCTGCTCAGGACTTAGAGGGACCCTATGCTGAGTCCATGAGTTGCCATTGTGGAAACTGGTCACCAAAACCTATACCCACCATCATCTTCGCTCCTTTCCCCGGTCATCTCCACGGACTCAGACAGCGAGGCCAGGGAGGTGCGTCTGGAGGAAGCTGCAGAGGTTACGCTGGCTTGCTTGCTCCCTGGGAGCCGGCTGACCCAGTGTTCACACAAGGAAGAACTTGTGGAGCCTGCAGAAGAGGAAGCAGCTGCTGAGGTCAGGCCAGAGCTCCGGGCCAGCCTGTGGGGCACACACCCTCACGACAGTGTGTGCCAGGGGTAGCTAATGCCCTCATTGCCGGGTGAGCATGAACTCTCAGGCCCCCACTGTGCCTTCTAGTGTCCTGTTAAGATGCAATGAAGAGGGGCAGATTCCCACACACATGTGTGATGATGAGATGCAAGTACAGGGATAGATACTTCATAGTGCAAAGTCCAAGTCTTAAGTGCTGGCAACAGAATGAAATACAGGCAATGGTTCATATAATCATTCACTCTACAAAGACTTATGAAGCACCTACATGTTAGACGTTGTTCAAAGCACTGTTTAAAGCACAAGCAGTGAGATTTCTGACACAGAGAAAAGACAGTGGCAGTACACTGTTACTTTCTTAGCCTGTTCTGTGGAATTTTTAAATCATTTATATAGTATTAATGTACAAACACACACATACAAGAATGTAAGTCAATCTATCCTGCCCATTCCAAGGAAGCCCTTACATATAACCAGAGCAACAGAAATGGCTCTTGAAATTGAGAACATTTCTCAGGTAGGCCTCAAGAGGGTGTAAGTTCTGAGCATCTCTCAGACTCTGGAAAGCACTGAGATGAGGCAAGGTAGCACTATAGATATCACTTTCTATTAACTGAGTGACTACAGACAGATGGGTGTACGGGGTGGGGTTTGACACCAGTGGCAGGTCACTTTGTTTCAGCAATGCTTCCTTTTAGCAGCTTGAAACTTCGGCTTCACAAGCTTCAAGGGGAGTGGGAACTAACATTCCCTAACCTGATCACAGGTTACCAAGTCCTGTCCCAGCACATCTCTTATACTCTGCATTAATAAGCATGTATCACCTTGTTCGGATTGTATGTGGCTGCATCCATGCTGTGTGTGGGTACTGATTCCTGTATTTATTAAACGCAGCAGACCAGATCCCATTAGGCTAAGCCCAATCCATCTAACATAACATCTCATATTATTATAACCTTCAATCCTTCCCCTAACAGAACAGGCCCATCTCACTGAGAAAAAGAACTCTTTCTAATGGTGCTTTACCCTTTACAAAGGCTGTAATGTACATGCATCTGTGATGCATTCAGTGACCCCATGAGGTAGGTATTATTACACCCATATCACAGATGGTAAGTATGTATCTAGGATGGGATGTGGTCCAAGATAACCAAACCAAAATGTGGCAAAGACAAGACTTAGTTCTATTCCCAAATCCCTCATTCCCTCTGCTTTTAGAGGAGCATGCCATGCTGTTTTTTAGTTCACTGACTCCACGAGGAAACACCACGACTTCCACGCTGGGTTCTACTCCACCACCCTATGAACTCCTAGTTCATAGCTGTGCACACATTCCACCCTCATTCCCCAACTGCAGTCATTTTGGTCTTATTAAATGCTAACACAAGAATTTATAAGCAAATGGACAGAATCATCATGAGACCTTATGGAGAAAGTCTCTGGACCTTTAATGTAATCTTCTACTCTAGAAAAAACCGCCCAGAAATAGAATTGGCCTTACCTGCCACCGAGCTGTTGGCCGACCACGACGGGATAGCGGTCCGCCGCTGGTAGAACAGGATGTAGGCTGTCTGTGTGCAGATCTCGTCTTCCGACAGCTGCTGCACCTCGCTGTCATCGAAGCAGTACCACAGACCATCCACAGAGTTCTTACAGTAGGCTGCCAAAGAGAGCCCACCGTCAGGACAAGGGCTGTGCCCCAGCTGCTCCACTCCACCCAGACACCATTTCTTTGGCTCACAGAATTATTTCAAGTGACTTTTTTTAAGGCTGCACATAGTAACACAGAAAGAGGCAAAAAAATCCAAATTCCCTATCACACTCACACAATGTGTTTCAAGAAATTCCAAGCTATTCCAAATGGACAAAATTCTATTTAATCTTAGAAAGCACAATATATGTATTCATTTAAACCAGCGGGTCTCAACCAGAGACAATTTTGCCTCCTGGGGGCAATGGATGGATACATTTTTGATTGACCCAACTTGGGGGGAGGGTGCTGCTAGCATCTGGTGGGTAGAGACCAGGGAGATGCTGCTCAAGTGCCTACAGTGCCTAGGATGGCCCCACGACTCAGAGTTAACCAGCCAAATCTTCAACAGTGCCAGGCTTGAGAAACCCCTATTTAAGCATGTTGTAATATTTTAGTATAGAACTAGAAATATTAAGAATAGCAGCAACTAGTATTTGTCTAGCACTTACTATGTGCTGAGCATCTCATTTAATCCAACGAGATTTTTTCTATTAGTATTCCCATTTTACAGGGGCTCAAAGAGATTAACTAGCTTGCCAAGTCATGTAGCTGGTGAAGGACAGGCCCCAACTCATTTCAGGCTTACCTAGTCTCTGGGCTTGCACCTAACCTCTACCCTACCCTGCTTCCCTCAGGAGTAGCGCAAACAATGCCCCATGAAGTCTGCTGGCAAGGCAAATCGAGCACCTGAGCTCATGAATGCATGCCCTGAGACAGAAATAAAGAGCACTCAAGCACCAGCAAGAACAGACAAGAACTTGGTGTTTGTGAAGCTGTATCATCCTGTAAGGGTGTATGAATGGTATAAGCTCAATCCAGAGGGGTGCATTCTTATTATACTTTTTAAAAATACCCACATTTTTCAGGTGAGACTAAATAAGTGCTAGAATATTTAGCTGAACACTGGAACAGGTTTAGTTATGGTCCCAGGGGCAGGACTCATAAGGTCCTGAGAGGAACCAGGAGCGACTCCCTAGATAACCACAACCACATCTGCAAGCACGGAACTCCAAGAGATGAAAGGGACCCAGGCGAGGAAGGGCTACATGAGTCAGGTCCCCAAAAAGGAGAGCAGAGTAAGATCTATGATTGCAGGGCAGGAAGTCATTTACAGCCCTGGACGCACTAGAACCAGAAGGAGAGGGAAATGGAGACATAAGCAGCAAACGGCTCTAGTAAAACAGTAATTGTTTGCTCAGTGGTGTCAGGTCAGGCTTGAAGGATAAACGACCCAGTTAGTGAGGTGTCTGCTGTTCTGGAGCGGGAGTGGGGTGGGAGTAAGACTGTAAGGGGAGATCAAGCCCAAGAGAAGCTGACAGTGACAGCGATAGTGACAGCAACGCTAGTTTCAGTCTGTTTCTCTTCAGGATGGTCTGTCTGTTCTCAGTCACAACACGGCAACTAAGGAGCACAGTGACTCAGAGGTTCAATGATGTATTTACAGAACAGTTCTATTTGCTTTTCCTCCTACAAGCATTATTTTCTGGAGTATTTTCTAGACCAAGGCTATTCAAGTTGTTCATGGACTGGTGCTAGACCACAAGATAAGTACAAAACTGAGATAAGCATTTAAAAAAATTTTTTTACAGCTATCTGATGCTGCTGTGATTATTTTTGCTATGTTTTTACAAAATTATTGGTTCATGAAGGACTGGAAATTTTTTAAAAGGTTCTTCATCACAGTTTGAGAAGTACTGTTCTATAATCATACACAAAGTCAGCCATATGCATACCATGTAATTACAGCCAGAACTAGTGCAGAATAAAGAATACATTGAAATAAACTTTCCAAATGAAAACTTAAAAACAAAGCATCTTTAACTCAACAATGTTAAGGTATTTTAAATGTTCTCTAAACTAAGACTCAATGTTTTATATACCAAAAGCAGTGGTATGGTCTAAACACGGGAAAGGGGAAATAATACAAAAAAATATCCCAGCTCCTTCAAGGAACAGGCTCCAATAGGCAGGCACAACCACTTCTGGCTCATTAATGCAGTTGCCAAGTTGGAGTAAAGTTACTTGACTAAGGTCACAGAGCTAGGAAGAGAGGTGTAGCTTCTAACACACTCCTTTCACTGGATTGTACTGCCTCCAAGGTAGTTGTGGGTTTCAAGCATTTGGCAAAGTCTATTCTACATAAAGAGCAACATGATAGGCTAAATTCTAGCACTTATTTTTCTTGACAATTTGTTGCTAAAACTGCATAAAAGCCCTTATTTTCCTGAGAAATGGTATTACAAATGGAAGATGCATTTTTTACCAAACCTGAAGCTGGATGAACACCAACCAGGGATGCTGGCAAAGGTGTTACGACACCAGCTAATCAGTGAAATTATGTTACCTCTAGGTCCCCTCCAGTTCTAAGAGTCCACGAACATACAAAGACTCAGTATCAAAGAGCACAGGTATGCTCTTTGATAAAAATCCAACTAGACAAACATTTATTATATAAGTGGCCCCCAAAAAAACAAAATATTCAATACAAAAAATACACTATCAGAATTTAAATTTGGTTTTAAGCATAATACAAGGTAAAATATATTTGAACATCTAATTAATATAACTTTGTCTTAATATAACTTCTAGAAAAGGCGTCTCTCCTTTTTCTCCTTCAAAGTGCTTCCCATGGCAAGTAGAGGCAATGCACACTGTTTCATGGAAGGTGCACTCGAAGTTGGGATCATTCCTCTCACAAATAACTGTGGCCTACAGCATCTAAATAGTGAAAGAACTTGAACTAAAAAGGCTTCAAGAATAAAAGATTGTTGTATCCAGTTACCTCCCCTGTCCCAGAGAAGTTAAGAGAGCTAAGAGTGCAGGGCTGAGGTGGGGGTCTGACAGGCTCCTTTACTGTGCTGGTGGAAGTCTCCATGCTAAATGCTAAGGCACAGTCTCACATATTTCACAATATCGACTGGCAGAGCCCATCCTCCCCACCTCCCCCTACTTTTATGAATCACTATCACCCTGGGATCTAGCTGGAGGAGTCACTGAACTGATGAAGAAAGTTAAGTCCCTGAGAAATAATGTATGTCAAGTATGTTGAGTGTGAAGGATGCAAAAATCCGAATTCTGGTCACCCATAAAAATGACCCAATTAACAGTGGTCCCCTCACATCAACTCCCATCCACAGAACACATACAGCAATGTCTAAGCAAGAAGCCCCCAAATCTGTACACCTCCCTGATGTTCATGCATGCCCTGAACCTAGTAATTCCTTTTCTGAGGCTCAATCCCAAGAAAATACAGAACTAACTATAGAAAAGGCAAACATACACAAAGATGCTCATCAGTGTTATATTCAAAGTTGAAAACCAGAAACAATATATATATGCTCAATAATGGAGAATGGTCATATAAAATTAGAGTCCTAGCAACAGAATATTCTGTGGTCACTAAAAATAGTGTTAATAAAAAAAAATTAAGCATCAACATCAGAACACTTGTTACAATGCTAACTATGTGACTGGAATGCAGAAATGCACACATACCACTCATACTTCACCTATTCTGCTGCCCTGATTCTGGAGCTTACCGTCTTCCCCATAGGCCCTGAAGTGCAGGCAGCAGGTGATTAAGCCGACAGTCCCTCCTGTCCCTGCAGCATGTTCTCACCACTCTCTCCTCTGGCCCTCTGCTCTACCCACTGTTCACACTTCCACCACACAACCAATTACACTTACTGCTCTTTCATTTTATTTGTACCTATATACCCCCACTTGATTACATTCTTGGAAGATGATGGTTGGAACCTATTCATTTCTGATGTGCCTCTGGCATGATATAGCCCAGGGCAAGCCACACAGGAGGTGATCTGTAAATGTTCACCTAAATAGAACAAACCAGTATAATCTCAACAGTGTAAAATAATGGCCAAAAACGTCTAGAAAAACTCTGGAAAGAAACACCATACATTGAAATGCTACCTACATACAATGGTATGTTATTCAGCCTTAAAAAGGAAGGAAATTCTGACACATGTTACAACATGAGTGAACCTTAAACACATTAGGTTAAATGAAATAAGATACAAAAGGACAAATACTGTATGATTCCACTTATGCAAGGTTCCTAGCATCTTCAAATTCAGAGACAGAAAGGATGGTGGTTTCCAGGGGACAGGGAAGTTATTATTTAATGGATGATGAAGCTTCAACTTGGGAAGATGAAAAACAGTCTGGAGATGGAGAGTGGAGATGGCTGCACAATGATGTGAATATACTTGAAACAGAAAACTTTAATAGTTTAAAGTGGTTAAAATGGTAAATCATGATAAAAAATTTCATCAGTGTTTAAAAATGTTACCAATGGTTATTTTTGAGTGATAAGCCTATGGATGATACTGTTCTTTCTACCTCTATTCTCTAAATTTCATGTGATAAACATAGTTGCTTTTAAAAATGCAAAAGCAAATTTGACTTCAAAAGATCAAGAAAAACCTTTCTAAGTCACTTTAAAGACACTATAATAGTGGTTCACTAACACTCCAAATAAGGGAGAGGCTAGAAGCTCAAAGAAGCAGAGCAAAACTTTAAATGGGGAGTGTGGGTGAGACAAAGATGATACCGTCTGTCTGCATACCCCCTCCTCCAGTCAGGTCAGACAGGTACCAGATGACCCAGCCCAGGAAAAGGGAGTCAAATTTTCATTTATCTGTCCTTGGACAGAGATCCAGAGGAGGAAAACTGCCCTCAAAGTTGGCACTCTGCTGACTGGAAGAGAAAGTCAGGTTCTAAAGCAAAAGTAACCCTGTCACAAGCAAAACTCGTCTGAAGGAAACATGAGCACAGCCCGCCAGCTTGTCGCGCTGCAGACCTGTGTAGTGCCCCCCTTGCATGGTGCCATGATGATTGCACACAGCATACAGGTCATAGACGTAGTCCTCAGGGTCCCTCCCAAGTCCGTAGGGCCGTCTCCATGGAGACCAATGAGATGGCAAACTCCAGCTGCTCTGGCTTCTCTTAACCACATGAGGTGTCATGTCCAGGCCAGTCAAGGGGAACTTGACCATATTCTGAAGTTTCATACGCCTGTCTCCATCCTGTTGCAAGAAGAAAAACAAAATCTAGTGATATTTTCATGCAAGCAGATGGTAGATCAGTTTAGCATGGAATGCAGACCCTATCAGCTGAGCTAGTGTGAGTTACCTATGGGATGTTTCCCGAACATGCAACACAAGGAAACAAACTAAGAGTTTTAACTATGTGGAGGAATAGGTTTTAATATCACCCAGAGTGGAACAGGCGATGATCTACATTTATGGGGTAACGAGCCTCCCTTGTTTTCATTTCCTTATCTGATAAAGGGTTTTTAGGGTTTTGACTTAGAAAATGACAATTGCAGGTGGTTCATCCTGACACTTCTGTCACAGAGGCATGAAAAGTAATGGAGCAGTAACACACATATAAGATGAAGCTCAGCGCTGACACGGAGCAGCCTTTCTGTATGCACTGCCTCCTTCCCCCCACCTACCCCAGCAAGCACATTAAAAGTTAACACTGGTTTATCTTACAATGTTCATTTAGCTGATAATCTTGGATAATCTGTATTTTCTATTAAGCCCATTGGGAAATCCTTTGAAATCCCACCATCAGCTGAATAGATATTTACTGAACACTTCCCATTTATTGGAGCTTTAAAAATTAATCAGGCATGGATAATGCTCATGTAAGGATCTATTCAGAGAAGAAAAATTTTGTAAGAGAAAAGTAGAAAGCACCCTGGATGATCAGGAAGGTGAGGTAAAAGAATCTGGACTTTGTGTAGTCCAGGGGAAGTGCTGGGGCTTTTGGGGAGGAGATGATGTCCTCAGAGGTGTGGGTGGACAGTGGGTGTGCACAGTACCTAAAACGTGGGAGGACAAGAAGTGCAGGTTAAAAGGCGCTACAACTGTAACCAGCTGGAACGTATCAAAAGTCTGAACTGGCAGGGTGACAGCAAGAATGGGGAGAAGGGGACACACACAGGAGGTACAACCAAGCTAAAGGAGTGCCTGGATGAGAGGGACAAGAAAGAAAGCAAACACTATGGTTTTGGGTCTGGGGTGCTCTAAGGCTGATGACACGCCTTCAAAGGATATGGAAAGCAAAAATCAGTTGGGTGTGTCTGGAAGGAGAGCAGACAGAGAAGGCTGGGGTCCAAACCCTCCACCAGCTGGATCCCACCTGCAGATCCCAATGGAAGATCAAGGCAAACACCCACCCTTTACTACTACACAGTAAAGTGGGCCATGTACATGTCATCCCTTTCACTCCCTCTTCACCACGTCCTAAGCATCTCAAATCTGTTTGGGTCTCTCCATCTCCCCTGCCATGGCTCTTTTCCGAGCCATTAGCACCCCTCCCCTGGATGACAGCCTCCTTCAGACCTCCCTCTCTTCCTTCTTGTAGCCTCTTATTCTCCACACAGCACAGAATGGTCTCTTCAAAACACAAATTTGGTCATGCTGTTTCTGCTTAAAATCCTTCATCACACTCGTGCCTCATATCGAATTTACCGAGTATCATAATTCCTCCAGGTGGTAAAGATACCTCGAGACAAGTGCTGGGCATAGAAGCCACAGGGCATAAATCTGCAAAGAAGTAAAAAGCTAACCTTTGCAAACAATATGGCTTCTCTCTCACTTACCAACTTTACATTTCCCTGTATGGCCCCGGAAGATGACTGGTTAGCCAGAGACGGGTAAGATTCCTCAAGGGAGGAACAACCTAAGACAGGCACAGTCGCAGGGGGGCCATCAGGTGAGAATTTGGGGATCAACAGAGGTGAGGCTCAGAACCTCACCCCCCCTGCTTTGAGAGAAATCTTCTGCATCCGTGGATGTCTTGCTGCCCTTGTCTAGCCTGGATTAATACTTAGTCCATAGGCACACACCTGATCATCTGATCATCTACATTTGCCTTCTTACAGCACTAAACTATGTTTTCTACCTTTATCTTGCATCTACCTACCACTTCAGCATTTTATTAAAAATAAAAATAATAATAATAATAGGAGAAATGTGGGATCAACATATAAATCAAGTACAAAAATCAAATGAATATTCATATTTGACCTGATGGTTTATAGGTCATATTGCATGATCAAAACCGAAAGTTTCTGTGATGAATGCCCTTGTACTGTTCACCATGTAAGAATTTATTCACTCTGTAAGAATTCGTTCACCATGTAAGAACTTGTTCGTTATGCTTCAGAAGATTGGAGACTGACGAGAATTAGGCTTGAGATGGATTAATGATTGTACATTGAGCATTGACCCCCCTATACTGAATTTTATTGTTGTTAACAACCATTTGATCAATAAATATGAGAGATGCCCTCTCAAAAAAAAAAAAA